TTAAGCCATATTTGCTCTATCTTACTCTACACTATTCTATAATAGGATTTAAAATATATTTATATTAAACAATCATATAAAATACTAAAATTGTACTAACAATTCTGAAAATAAAAGCTATTTGAGTAATAAACTACATGCTGTCAACACCTTGTGGCAGTGGTTCCGATCACGCCCACGATCAGAAGCAATCTTATCTGGGAACTTGTTAGAATGCTAACTCTTGGGCCACACTTCAAACTGACTAAATTGGAATGAGGGTAGCAGGAGTCTGTGTTATAATAAGCTCTCCAAGTGATTCTGATAGAAGCTAACCTGTGAGAACCACTGTCCCTGGGGATTTTGCAAAAGGTTCACAGGTAACACTGAACCACACACTAGTTAAGAATCCCTAGTAGGTAGGCCTGGGTGGCTCAGTTGGTTAAGCAGACAACTTTAGCTCAGGTCATGATCTCAACATTCGTGATTTCGAGTGCCGCATTGGGCTCTGTGCTGACAGATCAGGGCCTGGAGCCTGCTTCAGATTCTGCGTCTCCCTCTCTCTCTGCCTCTTCCCTATTCTCACTGTGTCTGTCTCAAAAATAAACATTTAAAAAAGAAGCACTAGTAGATTAGCAGTTTATAACCTTAACTACACATTGGGATTACCAAGGAGCTTTAAAACTACCTGGGGTCCTGGGGCACCTGGATGGCTCAGCCGCTTAAGCAGCAAACTCTTAATCCTGGCTCAGGTCATAATCTCATGGTTCATAAGATCAAGCCTTGTGTCAGTCTCTGCACTGACTTGTGCAGGGCCTGCCTGGGATCTCTCTCTCTCTCTCTCTCTCAAAATAAATAAGCATTAAAAAAACAAAAACATAAATAAATAAATAAAACGTGTATGGGGCACTTAGGCAGCTCAGCTGGTTGAGCTTCTGGCTGGCTCTTGATTTTGGCTCAGGTCATGATCTCATGGTTGGTGAGATCAAGCCCCACATGGGGCTCTGTGATGATAGCACAGAACCTGCTTGGCTCCCTGTTCCTCCCCATTCGCACATACATGTGTGCTCTCTCCTAAAATAAATAATAAAATAAACCTTACAAAAAATACCTGGGTCCCATTCCAGTATCTGATTTAATTGTTCTTTGAGGTGAGTAAAGTCTGGGCACTGGGATTCTTAAGACTCCCAAGTGATTCTAAAAATGTAGCCAAGGTTGAAAGCCAGTATCTAGAGGATTACATTTTCAAAACCTAGAGTTCACTAAGAGTCTTAGATTAAGCACAGTTAGAATTAGACATGAAAAGTTAGCCTTCAAAACCAACATATATTCAAAATACCATTATAAAAAAAAAAGAACTAGTTCACTTCCAATCTGTAATTTTTACATTTTCCAAGGCTATACAAGATGTTCATTATTTAGAGTTTTAATAAACAACTAAGTTGTTTATTAAACAATTTTGTTAAATATTTATTAAAATACAGTTTATAAAAATAAACTATAATTTATTAAACAATTAAAACAATTAAATACATACTATACATTTCTAGTTGTTGAGAAGGTTAAAAAAAAAAAAAAAAAAGGAGGGCATATAGCCTTTGCCCTTACAGACCATCTAATATGTTTGGGCATATTTCATAATAATTTAAGTATAAATACCAAATTCGAGTACAGATTGAATACAGAGGGAATGGAGGAAGAAATCACATTTAATCAAAGCAGTATTTAGGGCTGTCAAAAAATAGGTTTGAACTTCAGTATTGAAGAATGAATTACATATGGAGTATAGATGAGGCAGGTAGGCAGACAGACATGATGGGACAAAAGATACACAGGGGTTGTTGGACTCTTTTGGAGCAACGAGAGGGGGCTGACAGTACATAATATAAAAAGGACTTTGCTTATTGAGGGATTCCTCATGACTTAACTATTGTCAGTTTTCCCAAGGACGGTGCATAACTGGTCCCATTCTAGAAACACGGGAAAGAAATAAGAGAGATGCTAATTCATTACATACAATGGATGCCTTGTAGCACTGGTTTTCATACCTTATATGATCCAGAATCACTTGGAGGACTTGTTGAAACAGACTGCTGGGCACCATCCTTAAAGTGGGGTAGGACCACAGAATGTGTTTTCTTTTTTTTTTTTTTTTTTTTTTTTTTAACATTTGTTTATTTTTGAAAGACAGAGTGCAAGCAGGGGAGGGACAGAGAGGGAGGGAGACACAGAATCTGAAGCAGGCTCCAGGCTCCAAGTTGTCAGCACAGAGCCCAACGCAGGTCTTGAACTCACAAACCACGAGATCATGACCTGAGCTGAAGTTGGACACTCAGCGGACTGAGCCACCCAAGGTCCAGATTGTGTATTTCTAACAAATTCCTAAATGCTACTGGTACAGCTGGTATGGAAATAACTCTTTGAAAACCATTAATTCTCTAGTGGTATTCTCATTAAAGCCGATGTAAAGTATATTTTCATTTTGAAAGTCATTCGTACTCATTAAAGTAAATGCAGAAAACAAACGTGAAGAAAGAAGCAGCATTACTCTTACTCCCTCTATTCAAAACATTATCTTGCTATGTTTTACTACTTGCTATGAAGACTACTACAGTCTTCTCTTTAGAAATAAATGAAGTATTCTTGACTGTACCATACACAGGAACATATGCAAACACTGTACCAACCAATACATGTCATGGAGGCCAAAGGCACAGTTGATTCACTAAGACGTAGTATGCTACAGCAATAATTTTCAGGCTCCCAAGAAAACATGGAATTTCTGTCCACTGGTAGTACAAAACAGCAGTTTACCAATCCTTTCATACCAAAATTAGTCTCATGTTACTAAATTTGAGTGATCTCTTGGTCAACTAGACCAAATATTTATTGAAACTTTTCAGCAATGGCATGTCAGCAATATATTTTCAAGCCCTTTCATTTACTTCTGAAAATATTTTTGTTTCACAATTATACCAAATGACAACTTGGTTGGGTAGAAAACTCTGTCTTTATGACTTTACTTCACAAATTCCTTAATCCATTGACTTCTGGCACTTATATAACAAAGTCTGAAACCAGAACGATTTATGTTTCTTAGCTCCATCCCACAGGACATCATGACCTGAACTGAAATCCAGAATCAGAGGCTTAACTGACAAAGCCACCCAGGGCCACTATCCCCCTCTAGGTTTCTAAAACTATTTAAATTCTGTAAATAAGCAAAATATACATTCCCAAAACAAAAGTATATACAAGGTATACACATGGTAATTTAAATCTTTTTTGTTTCTGAGTGAATGCAGTCAACTGATTTAGAACAGAACCTAGTCCTAGGATTACTTGGACTAGGAAATACTCTCAAAGAGAAAGGTAGAGTGAGAATCCTGTATTTACTACTCCTTCACCCCCACTCCTGGCCTGAACACCTGTAGGGTTTTGTTTTGTTTTCCTTAAAGCTTGTAATTTACAAAAATTACCTGAGCTTGTATCTAGATGTGGATCTCTTTGCATTGGTTTTATTTGAAACACTGTTTCCCTTAATTATACATATTGCAGGTTTGAGAGGTTTTTGTTTTTAATTAAATAAAACAAAGTCATCTTTACATCTGACCATTATTTTGTTCCAAGTGTTTGATTTAGTTTCTGTGAAATATCTATCATTCCTCTGCTGGGCTCCCAGTATCCTTCTCTCCAATTCATTACCTCAAAATTTTTCTTCTCATCATTTTCATCCTTGTCCTTTCTTGGTAAGAGGTTTTCAAGTTTGTGCTTCCTAGGTACAGCTTCATTATCTGTACGATTAAATTCAACTCCTAATCTATTGTCCTAGGTGAATGCTGGTTCTGCTTGTCCAATCACTTTTCCTTATGTTGCCCGTGGCCCTTTCTTCTGACCCTGTCGTCTCCTGCAGGGCTGTCTTTCCTATTTTATGGGAGCTTGATCTTCTTACATGTTAGCAAGTACGCCCGATATTTTTTCATTTTCATTTTCATTTTTTTCCTGGTTCCTTCCACATTCACAGAGCAACAGTTCCTTTAACATTTCCATTATTTTCTTTCCCTTTATTCTGCAGTATTTTTTCAGGGATTTTCCCTCAGTACTTTGACAAAGAAAGCAGGATCAACCGATGCTCAGGAACTGCCAACAAGCCAAGAAGTACACGTTGCCCCTTGATCCTACCTTCTAATCACAGCTGCTAGTAGATTCCCTTCCCCAACTGTTGTGCAAGATCTAATTCCCAGTGCCCAAGAGGCTTTATTTAGTTTGGTTCTACCAGAAAAAGAGGGGAACTTCTTCTATTCCCAAAGACTAAATCTCTGAAACACTGAATATGGAATCTTTGAAATTCTGCCCATTGGCCTCCTACTTCAAATCCTATCTTATCCTGACCTAAAGGTTCATTCTGACCTCTCACTTTCTTAAAGGCTTCTCTTTGGTATAGCTAGTGCCATGCAATTTTCCACTTTTTCTGTAATTATTTCATGTTTTTACAAGTTATTCAAGGCCAGAAACATTTAAGACTTCTATGTAATTGCATAGACAGAAAATAAATATTTGCAACTGATAACCCAGTTTCAGAACCTTCATAAAGTACCCAAACACTTTCACTCTTGAGGTGAGATTTTGTGCAATTGATACAATTTAGGCAAACATCCCCACAACTCAGTCTAAGAAAACCTTAACATTCCATTGCTTTTCTAAGCTATTGGAATATTTATACGTAGAAAAAATGCTGTATGTAACAACCACCATAAAAAATTCAATCTGTTCTGTTAGTTTAAAAATATTGCTAATTCAAGCAGCTAAAACAGTATATAACATAATTAGGAAAATATTCTTTTGGGTGCAGATAATTCTGAAAGTGTTATATGCAAATATTATATCCCAAACCTAGAAAGCTCCAAAATCTAAACATGATTTTGTTTCAATGAATTCTGCATCTCACTTCTGATTATTAATGATTAACTTATTTTTAATAAAATCACAGATCAATGATGAGTGTAAAATCATCTACTCACCCCACCCATTGTAATTCCATGAATAAGTGCAACATATGGTTTCTGGCAAGAACCTAAAAGAAAGGAAGCTATAATTAGTTACAATGTTTAAAACACATTCACTTTATATGGAAACCAACTTGACAATAAACTATTTTAAAAAATAAATAAAAATATGGGGTGCCTGGGTGGCTTAGTTGGTTAAGCGTCCGACTTTCGCTTAGGTCATGATCTCACGGTTCGTGGGTTCGAGCCCCGCGTCAGGCTCTGTGCTGACTGCCAGCTCAGAGCCTGGAGCCTGTTTCAGTCTGTGACTCCCTCTCTCTCTGACCCTCCCCTGCTCACACTGTCTCTCTCTCTGTCTCCTAGAAATAAATAAACATTTAAAAAAATGAATAAATAAATAAATAAAAATAAAACACATTCTCTTTTTCAAAAATCTCAGGTTGCATTAACTCTGAATATTTTCCTAGGAAAGTTTTACAAGAAATACCAAAGGAGCTAAATATATGGCTTATAAAATATGTTTTCAAAATGTCAATTTCTACACAATCCTGATCCTCTATTGTCATTTAGCAACTCAACACTTCAATTTGAAACAAAATGAAAGCCTTTTATAGCTCAGCCACTGAAAAATTTAATTAAGATTTACTTTCTAAACCATGGCTGCTTATGTACACAGTCATATTTGAAGGAATATAATTTGTTTTCAATACACCTAAAGTATTTGGATACAAAGAGAGGTGCAGCATACTGTCAAAAAACAAGGACTGGGAGTTAGAAGACTCAGATTCAGGTTTCAGCTTTGTCATTAACTATATTCAACTATATTCAATATATATACTGGCATTAGATGTCATACATACATCTTGGCAATTCAACATATATATAGCATTAGGTATATATACACATATATATACACAAACACACAAATTAATATATATGTGCATATCATATATGTGTATGTGATACACAGGTAAGTTTCCTCATCTATTAAACAATGAGTGAGGCGCTTGCGTGGCTCAGTCAGTTAAGCGTCCAACTTCAGCTCAGGTCATGATCTCACAGTTCGTGGGTTCGATCTCTGCGTCAGACTCTGTGCTGACAGCTCAGAGCCTGGAGCCTGTTTCGGATTCTGTTCTCCCTCTCTCTCTCTGACTGTCTCCTGCTCATGCTGTCTCTCTCTCTCAGAAATAAAATGTTAAAAAAAAATTAAACAATGAGAATACATGCCCTCAGAAGTTCCTTTTAGTTCAAAAATTCTGCAAAATTTTACTCTATTCCTTTCCCTTTTTTCTTTTTCCTCTGAGAGGGGGAGTTACTTATAAAATAACAAAAATGCAAATCACTGAGCTTCTGATACAGCTTGTTGCCAATATTACCATGAAAAAAACTTCAGTTATTTTGGTTTCTGTTTTGGACTTTATTTTTTTCTTTTTGATGGAAGGATAGTCAACATACAATATTACATTATTTCCATGTGTAATACATAGTGATTCAACAAGTTTATATATATTATACTATGGTCACCACAATTGTAGCTACCACTTCTCATCATGCAATGCCACTACAATATCATTGACTATATTCCCTATGTACCTTTTATTCTTGTGACTTATTCATTCCATAACTGGAAGGCTGTTATCACTCGCTCCCTACTTCACCCATTTTACCCATGCCTCCACCCTCTTTACCTCTGGCAACCATCAGTTTGTTCTCTGTATTTATGGGTCTGTTTCTGCTGCTTGTTTATTCATTTGTTTTTTAGATTCCACACAGAAGTGAAATCATATGGATATATCTTTCTCTTTTTTCTTCTAGCAAAATACCTTCTAATACCATATCCATATTGTCACAGATAGCAAGATCTCATTCTTTTTTATGGCTGAGTAATATTCCATGTAATGTAGCAGGATAAAACTACAGTTTTAACACATCTAGCAGTTCTGTAAATATTTCCAATCTGCGAAATGAACCACCAAAGCACAATTCTAGAATCAGTTACATTCTAGTTTTATATTTGCAAGGACTTCCATAGCCTTGTCTTAAGCTAAAATTCCCTTCAATCTTGAACTGTACTTCCCTAGGAAACTATAATTCCCTAGAAACTATGGAAAGAAATGTCTCTATTGAGATGGAGATACATGATCTCTCCCATTTCAGCTACAGATATATGTATTTCAGATACAAAAAATTAGAAGCTAATTGATGCAATGCATAAAGCCAAAATCTGTCAAATTCCTTATTAACTAAAATAGGTCACTATAATGTATAGAAATTAAAACTTGAAGGCTTTCTTCCTGTATATTTTTTTTTTTTACCAAATTTCTTCAAAGCTTTCTCCCATCTCCTTTTATTTAGTACAGAACTGCTCTAATATAGTAGCCACTAGCCAAATGTAGCTATTGAAATTAAACTTAATTACAGTTAAGTAAAATTTAAAATTCAGTTTCTTGCTGACACTAGTCCCATTTCAAGTTCTCATTAGCCACAGTTGGTTAGTCGCAATCACACTGGACAACACAGACACAGAATATTTTCATCACTGCAGAAAAGTCCTATTGGATATCATTGGTATAAATTTTCAAAATGAGTAAGCTATTCTAAGTAAATATGACATATAGAATTTTAGCCTTAAGGAAGTGAGATATGTCCATTAAATCTGGCTCATGGAGCTAAATCAAGAAATAGCCTCTTTTCCCCACTCCTACTTCAAAGATACAGAAAATTCAAGGAAAAACATTTTTTAATGTACATCTGAGTTCGTAGCCAAACAAAGGAAATCCATCAGTGTCAGAACAAACTCAAAATCAACAGCTGAGGAGAAGCTACAGCTAATAATTGTGAATGAACATGTATTTATTCTGAGTCAGAAAGAAATTCAAAGGGTGCTTGGGTGGCTTAGTTAAATGTCCGACTCTGGCTCAGGTCATGATTTCACAGTTTGTGGGTTTGAGTCCCATGTCAGGATATGTGCTGACAGCTCAGAGTCTAGAGCCTGCTGTGGATTTTGTGTTTCCCTCTCTCTCTGCCCCTCCCCCACTCATACTCTGTGTCTCAAAAATAAACAAACATTAAAAAAAAATTAAAGAAATAAACTCTAGGCCAAATGGCCTATGAAATGGACTACCCGCATAAAAGCTCATGCTAGGAAGAGCTATTAGATTTGCCAAACATGACTAGAAAAACCATCTGCTATGCCAGAAGTCAATTCCTTCCAGGAGAGGAAGAGAAAAAGCCAAAGAAAGGATGCTCAAACACCAGATAATAAGTACCACCACTACAGCTGCACAAAAAATCAAAACACCCCTAACAAATTTGCAATAGAAGTAACATCTATAACCTGGTAAAAAAGTTATCTACAAAAAGATAATACTGAAAATTAAAATTATAGAAGCCTTCCCATGGACATCAGAAATAAGACAACATACAATCATTCAACATTATAACAGAGGTCCTACCCCAAAATATAGGAGAAGTCATAATATAAAAACTGTAAAGACAGAGATAAAAAAAAAATTATGTGCAGATGGTATAACTGTCTATGTAGAAAAGCCAAGAGAATCTATAGAAATATCATTAGAATAACAAATTTCAGCAAGGTTGCTGGATATAAGAACCGAATTAAAAATCCAAATCACTTCAATATGCCAAAGATAATATATTACAAAATTTAACAGTAAAATTACAACTAAATGTAGCAACAAAAAGGTAAGCTACCTAAGAATAAAACTTAAAGAAAAAAGGGTAGGAAAATCTTTATGAATCAAGTTACAAAACATTATTCAAGGATATAAAAAGTCAAATCTGATGAAGAGTTCCAAATTGGTTTAAGGTGATAGTTACGCAAGTTCACTAAAAGTTACTGAATTATTTTGAAATGGGTGAGATTCATGGTATATATACTGTAACTCCACAAGTTTTTATGTGTGCATAGAGAGATATGCCATGTGCATAGATGGGAAGACTTAACACGAAAGATGTCAATTCACCCTAATCTATAATTGTCATCCCAATATCAAAACCTCAATGGAATCTTCTGCAGAGCCAGACAAAATAAAATTCGACAATTCATATGGAAGATCAAAAGACTAAGTGTAGCCAGGACAGTTCTAAAAGAAAACAAAGGCAATTTATACTACTAGATATAAACATATCTTACAGCTGTGATAATCGTGACATTGTAGTTTCATCATACTTACAAACAGGCCACTGAACAAAGTAGTCCAGAAACAGACCAGGTCACATATAAGAACTTGATACATGACAGAGGTATCTTAACATCAGTGAAAAAGGCATGGACGTTACAAATAAAAGGCATTACAACATCTGGCTTTCTAGGTGAAAATTAAAAGTTAAATGATGTAACATGCAAAGAACTATTCCAAGTACATTAAAGACTTACAGTATAAAGAAACGAAATATTGAAACTATTAGAAGAAAATATGAGAACATCTTAATAACCTCAGTGTTATTACATTTTTATGCAAAAAAAGTATAAATCATATAGGAAAAGAATAGATACATTTCAACTAACCAAATAAAAACTTGGGTATACCAAAAAATGACCTAAAGTAGCCGACAGAAAGAAGTATTCTTGTGGTACGTATACTCTACAAAAATGAGGAATCCAGAACACATAAAGACCTACACAATCAGTAGGAAAAAGACAATCTAACAGAAAGATGAACAAAGGATGACACTGAAAAGAAAATCTAAATGATTACTTAGCATAAGAAAACACCTTCTATCTCACCAATATGCAATGAAATACAAATTAAAGCCACAGTAAGATATTAGACATGCAAAGTTTAACACAAAAAATGATGGAAAGGACATGCAGAAAAATAAAGTACTGTAGAGAAGAGTCTGGAAACAACTGAAGACCTATAAACTATGATCCATCCATTGTGCTTCTATTATTCCTATAGAAACTTTTGTATATAGACACTAAGGGGACATATGTAACAATCTATATTAGTAAAAATTTGGAATAACCTAAAATATCAATTAATGTAGAACAGGAAAGCAATGCGGGATACCTTCATAATACAGACCACTATGGAACCGTTTCAATCCATGTTATTAAAAACAACCGATACAGTGGTATACATAGTAAGATGTTACTTGTATAAATTTCAAACCCACAAAGTAATACTGCTTTTGTTCATAGAGTATAAATATTAAGTATGGTCTAGTAGGATACACCAAAAATTAATGACAATGGTTGCTTATTGAGGAGAAACAATGGTTGCTTCTGGGGAGAGAAAAAAATGACACTGAGGAAAGCAACAAAGCCAACTAAAGCAGAAGTTTAAAACACGTAGTATTTTATTTCTTTTAAATAAATCTTAAAACATCAAGCAAAAATAAAATATTAATGTCTGTTCATTCTGGCTGGTGGGTACACAACGATTTATTATATTATTCCCTGCAGCTTAACATTTGAAACCCATGTGTGATGAAAGTACTGCTTCACTTACAATGAAACCTGGAACATCAACTTTATAAAGGTATTTTCGTCCCAGAGTTCCTGAAGAATTAGGAAATGGTACTTAATTTTACAGAGAAAACCGAGGCCCAAGTTTTTTGTTTTCTAAGAAAGCCGGCCATACAATCAGAATCCATGTTTTCATATTGATTGTAGGACATTCAATAATTAAGTATAGCTTACTAATATTAAAGTATGAATTATTCTGGAATGAGCAGTCAGAATAGTTTAATCAGCTTTATTTATGCCTGATATATAGTCTATAAAAGAGCAATAACAATGTCTACTGATTATATCTTTAACAAGTGACACTGTAGCTCATTTGTTGATTCTGTTTATAAAGCTCTCAGAGGAGTATACATACCAATGGCATAGTTCAGGGTATATTCTTCTCTAAAGAGATCTTGAGTCACCTTCTGGTTTGCGTTTCTGGCTTCTGAGAGCTCTACCAAAAAAAAAAACAAAAAAGGAAAGAAGGAAGGGAAAAAGGATTACAACTTTTTTTAAAAAGTGCTTTCTAGTTAACGTAGTCAAAGAAAATAAACTTAAAATATTGTGATATTGGGGTGCCTGGGTGGTTCAGTCAGTTAAGCATCCAACTTCGGCTCGGGTCATGAACTCACAGCTCGTGAGTTCGAACCCCGAGTCAGGCTCTATGCTGACGGCTCAGAACCTGGAGCCTGCTTCAGATTCTGTGTCTCCCTCTCTTCCTCTGCCCCTCTTCTGCTCACACTCTGTCTCTCTCAAAAATAAACAATAAAAATAATTTTTAAAAAAATATTGTGACATTAAGTACCAGGGGAAACTCTAGAATGGTTTGTTAAAGTTTGGAAGTGTCCTTGCCACAGACAGTTAGCCCCAGATTCATATTCTAAAGTCAAAAGTCAAGGCAAAAATTCTTCAGAATTTCTTACAAAGTGCTATACCTAATTTAGAGCTTATATATTGCTACCATTTTCTTCTATTTTCTATAGCACCCAAATAAACATTTGTTGGATATGTATCTCCAATGGTAATATATCTTAACACAAAGTACACTATACACACAGAGAAATATAAGCATATGTGTGCATGTGTGTACTCACACACACACAGTACAATATATTCTGTCTAGTTAAATATTTCTGCCACATTCATTTCACCATGAAACACTCATTGAGATGAAGTCAGACGCTCAAACGAGTGAGCCACCTAGGTACCCCTTATGAGAATTATCTATTAAAATACAAATTAAAATATAAACGTATTTCCTCTATGGGAAAGAGTTACATAAAAATTGTTGATTACAGACATTTAGACTAATTCTCGAAAACTGATATATTTTCTTTCAAAATGTTTCACATATTGACTTCTTTTCCTCGTTTTTAAAAGAAAGCATTGGTCTCTATTTTTGTTATTAATAGGGTTTCACTGATATATGCATGCCCCCTAAACCCTCATCTATGGTTTCTTTTCAGTTCTTACCATTATTTAGCAATTCTAAAAGGACAAAAGTACAAATTATATTGTCTGTGGAATGAAGCTCTTTTACATCAAAAATCTTTGATTTCCTCTTTATCTTATTCTAATCAATTAATTCCACAGAAGTTAAACTTAAAGAATAGCATTAAAAAAAATTATTTTTCTGAGTGCCCACTTACGACCTTGGACTAAATAAATATCTTTAAAGCAACTAAATTTCCTTGAATTAAAGACCACTTCATTATACACATAAACTAAATTTGTAATTTGTTACTGTAGTTCCAAATATCAATATAAAGTTTGACCTGTATGTAAAAATAGCTCACCGTCAGAAGAAGCAAAAAACAATACATAAGGCTCTACCCATCTGTAAACTAACAAGATCATAGCCCCAACTCCAGAATAAAGGTTAGCTCCATGCTGACAAACAATATTTTAAATATATTCATGTTGTGGGTAAAACAATAAATTCAAACACAATTCAGTTAACAAATCTATCTAAGCAACTGAAATTTTAAGATTCAAGTTACTTTAAATTTGATAGGTTTCTAAAATTATGTCCTAAATCAAGCTTGTTTCTTCCTATTCCAAATATAATAGTCTACATCAACTTGTAACTTTGGTAAATAGGTCAACCCAAACAGTACTGCCTTAACAGAATACAAAAATAAATAAATAAATAAAATACACAACACACACACACACACACACAAGATAAAAACTCAAGGGAAAAAAAAATACTATCCATGAACTCTACCAATTTCATTACAAAACGTAAAAACAGTTTTCAGTATATATGAATTACTGACAACCAGTAGTGATAATAAGTACATGACTTTGATCCTGAGAATAAACATTTCTTCGTTCTTTTGCCTTTAATAGTTAAATGTATACAGACAGACTGACCTAGGGAATTAGAAAGGAGAATTAATCTTTTTATCTCATCTCAACATGTTTAAACATCTATAAAAATATATTGACAATAGAATAAATTCTATAATTAAGTACATTCCTGCTTTGGGACCATGAACTGGGGAAAAGCACAGGCATAGTCAAGGAAATATGTGAAAGAATGTCATATTTGGATAATGACAATTCACTCAACGTGGCCAGATTGTCAGGTTATAGAACAAATTGAACTGCTGAATATTAGCTAATCTAAAATAAAAAGTGGAAACACATACCATAACTGTACATTTTGTTTAGGATGATTTAGGGAGAGACTGGATATGAAGGGGACATATATAGTTTAAAAAATGCTATTCTCATTTTTCTAATATTAACTACAAAAGCTAAGTCATTATAAAAAAAAATTCTAAGTAAAGCAAATTATGAAGTAATACAAAATTTTCCTTTGTTTTATCAGTTCTTTTTTTTTTTTTTAAATGTTTTTATTTATTTCTAGGAGAGAGAGAGAGACAGCATGAGCAGGAGAGGGTCAGAGAGAGAGGGAGTCACAGACTGAAACAGGCTCCAGGCTCTGAGCTGGCAGTCAGCACAGAGCCCGACGCGGAGCCCGAACCCACGAACCGCGAGATCATGACCTAAGCGAAAGTCGGACGCTTAACCGACTAAGCCACCCAGGCGCCCCTGTTTTATCAGTTCTATGTGGGGCAAAAAGCATTTAGGTTAAGTGGAGGAAAAAATTTTTACCTCTGATATCACCCCCAGAACAGAAAGCCTTTCCGCCAGCTCCTTTTATAATGATCAGGAAAGTTTCAGGATCTTGTTCCCAATTCTGTTTAAATGTAAAAGAAGATGGAAAAAGTATATTATAAATGCAAACTCATTTAAAAAATCTATATGCATATATATACACATATACATACATAGGTATATGTGTATAGATAGATAGATGTCAATACATATAAAATAAAAGCTTTATAAAGTATATCCAAAAGAATAGATCCCAATTTCATTTTCTTTTCTGACATAAATCAGAAATTGAAGACTATTCCAACCAACTTGCTAGATGAATACACTTTGTGATCCAAATTGTACGATATTATCTGAGGAAATCTTTGCCATGACAACTTTGAGACCAAGATGAAAAAACATGGGCTTAAATATACACTCCAGAAGCTTATAAATCTGGTGAACAAATCAGTCCAAAGACTGTTGATAAAAAAAAAACAAGAACTTTTCTATCGTGGTGATATCACAATAGGGCTCCAACCTACTGACAAATTTATAAGCAATAGAGTAAAACTACTTATACTAATCAAATCTTGAAGTGATTTGAGGTCGGTAGGGGCAAGTAATAAGCAGGATGAAAGAATCAAGAGCCAATGGAAATTCAAAAGACTAAATACACTAAATCATTAGTTAACCAGAGACAAAAATTAATAGGAGCTCTATAAATTCTACATTTGAGAATAACAATATAAACACACAAGGAAGAGATGTAGCTGGATGGATGGGGTTGTTCAAAAGCCTAGTGCAATATTAGACTACATTAATAGAAATATGGTAGCCTAACATGGAAGTTTCTACTTTCTTCCACTCTGGACCACTCCAACCTGAAATACTTAGTTTATTTCTTTTTATTACATTTAAAGACATATTATAAGGTGCCCCAAATGGACACAAGAAAATGGAAGACAGACTCATCAAATGAAAAATTAAGAAACTAGTAACCAGGATAGAATTGGTCTTTGTGGCTGCCCATATTAGGTACATCATTTCACTACATCTTCATAATAATCCTGTGAGATATTATAATCCCCACTTCATAGCTGAGATAAATGGAGGACGGAGAGATGAACACTCCCAAGCTAAACAGTTAATAAACAGAAATCCAAGTTTCAAACAAAGTAGTCCAACTAGAAGTCATGCTTTTCCATTGTACCATGCAGTTCACTTAGAATAGAAAAGCTTATGGTCTTCTCTAAGAATAGGCTGGCCAGTATAGGGGCACATGGACCCCAATGTTCACAGCAGCACTCTCAACAATAGCCAAATAATGGAAAGAGCCTAAGTGTCCATCAACTGATGACTGGATCAAGAAGATGTGGTTTATCTATACCATGGAATACTACATGGCAATGAGAAACAGTGAAATCTGGCCATGTGTAGCACCATGGATGGACCTTGAGGGTGTTATGCTGAGCGAAATAAGTCAGGCAGAGAAGGACAGATACCGTATGTTTTCACTTATAGGAGGATTAGGAGGAAGTTGACGGAGGACTATGGGGGAGGAGAAGGGGGGAACTAGCTGGGGAGAGGGAGGCAAAACATGAAGAGACTCTTGAATACTGAGAACAAACTGAGGCTGGTAGGGGTGAGGGACAGGGGAGGGGGGAGATGGGCACGGAGGGGGACACTTGTTGGGATGAGCACTGGGTGTTATATGGAAACCAACTTGACAATAAACTATGAAAGAAATTTTAAAAAAAGAATCGGCTGGCCAAGCAGTCAGCACAGAACCTGACATGGGGCTTGAACTCATGGGGCCCAAGATCATGACCTAAGCCGAAGTTAGCCACGCAACTGACTGAGCCACCAAGGTACCCCTACGATACATTTTTTAAAGGGTCCATATAATTTTTTTAAGGAAATTACAAACCTTTAGTTGTGGATAAATCTGCCGAATCATATTAAGATTCAGTGCATTTAGGGACTTTGGTCTGTTTAGTGTTATCACTCCTGCACACCCTCTTCTTTCCAATAGTACTTCTCCTGCTGCATCTGTGTGGTTAGACATTCTCTGTGTAAAAAAAAAGATTAAGTTTAGGATGAAATTCATTAAGGTTTTGTCACAAGTCAATATCGAACCATAGACAGGTATACCTCAGAGATGCTGTGAGTTCAGCTCCAGACCACCACAATACAGCAACTACTGCAATAAAGTCAAGTGATTTTTGTCTTGGTGCATATAACAGTTACACTTATACTATACTGTAGTCTATTACATGTGGAATAGCATTATGTCTGAAAAAACAATGTACACACTTTAATTAAAAAGTAATTTATTGAGAGAAAGATGGTGGTGGAATAGGAGGACCCTAGGCTCATCTTGTCCCATGAACACAACTAGAAAATTATCAATTCATCCCATATACCCCAGAAATCAACCTGAAGGCTGAGAGAACAAACTCTACAACTAAAGAGAGAGACGAGGCCACACTGTAGAAGCCAAGTTAAACACGTAGTTCTGACTTTTGGAAGCCTGAACCTGCTTGATAGTTAGGTTAACCTTGCTTTATGACTGAATAAAGCTGACACTGTGCAAAGGGAAAAAAAAATTTGCTAATAAATACTAATGATTACCTGTACTTTGAGTCAGAATCTTTGCTGGTGGAGAGTTTTGTCTCAACATTGATGGCTGCTGACTGATCAGGGTGGAAGTTGTGAAGGTTGGGGAGGATGTGGCAATTTCTTAAAATAAGACAACAGTCAAGTTTGCTGTATTGAATGACTCTTCCTTTCACAATTTCTCTGTAGCATGCAATGCTGTTTGATAGCAGTGGGCCCAAAGCAGAACGTCCAAAATTAGAGTCAATCCTCTCAAACTTCAAGGTGCTACTTTATCTACTATGTTTATGTAATAGTCTTGATCCTTTGTTGTGGTTCTAACGATCTTCACAATATTTTCACCAGGAATAGAGTCCATCTCAAGAAACCACTTTCTTTGCTTATCCATAAGAAGCAACTCCTTCATAGTTTGACCACAAGAGTGCAGCAATTCAGTCACATCTTCAGGCTCCACTTTTAATTCTAGGTCTCCTTCTGTTTCCATCACATCTGCAGTTACTTCCTCCACGGATGTCTTGAACCCATCAAAGTCATCCATGAGGGTTAGAATAAACTTCTCACTCCTATGAATGTTGATAGTTTTTGGCCTCTTAAGAATCACGATGTTCTTAATGACATCTAGAATGGTGAATCCTTTCCAGAAGGTTTTCAATTTACTCTGCCCAGATCCATGAAAGGAATCCATCTCTATGGCAGCTATAGCCTTATATTTGAAATGTATTTCTTAAACAGTAAGACTTGAACATTCGAAATTACCCCTTGACCCAAGGCTGCAGGATAGATGCTGTGTTAGCAAGCTCCATCAGAGCTCTTGGGCAACCAGGTGCATTGTCAATGAGCAGTATTTTGAAAGGCATCTTTTCTTCTGAGCAGTGGGTTTCAACAGTAGACTTAAAATATTCAGGGGACACCTGGATGGCTCAGTTGGTTGAGTGTCCAACTTCAGCTCAGGTTATGATCTTGGTTCTTGAGTTCAAGCCTCACATCAGGCTCACTGCTGCCAGAGCAGAGCCTGCTTCAGATCCTCTGTTCCCCTCTCTCTGTCCCTCTCATGCTTGTGCTCTCTCAAAAACAAACATTAAAATATATTACATTTTATGTGTGTGTGTATGTATGTGTATGTGTATTCAGTTAACTATGTCGTAAACAGCTGTGCTGTCATCCAGGGTTTGTTTTTCCATTTATAAAGCATAGAAGAATAGATTTAGCAGGATTCTTAAGGGCCCTAGGATTTTCAGAATGATCAATGAATATTAGCTTCAACTTAAAGTCAACAGCTGCATTAGCCCCTAACAAGAAAGTCAGCCTATCCTTTGAAGCTCTGAAGCCAGCCAGTGACTTCTCTCTAACTATGCAAGTCCTAGATGACCTCTTCTTCCAATAATAAGCTGTTTCATCTATATTGAAGACCTTGTTTATTATACTCACCTTCATTATCTTAGCTAGACCTTCTAGATAACTGGCTGCATCTTTGCCATCTGCAATTTCTGCTTCACCTTGCATCTTTACATTACAGAGATGGCATTCTTTAAACCCCATTACTAACTTTTGCTAACTTCAAACTTTTCTTCTGTAGCTTCCTCACCTCTCTCAGCCTTCATAGAACTGAACAGAATTAAGGCCTTATTCTGGATTAGGTCTGACCTAAGGAAATGTTGTAGCTGGTCTGATCTATCCCAACTAAAACTTTCTCATTATCAGCAATAAGGGTGTTTCACATTCTTATTCATTTGTTCACTGAAGTAGCACTTTTCACTTCCTTCAAGAACTTTTCTGTTGCATTCACAACTTGGCTAACTGGTCCAAAAGGCCTAGCTTTTGACCTATCTGAGCGTTTGCTATGCCCTCCTCACTAAGCTTAATCATTTTTAGCTTTTGATTTAAAGTGAGAGACATCTGACTCTTCCTTTCGTTTGTACACTTGGAGGTACTGCAGGGATATTAACTGGCCTAATTTCTATGCCGTTGTGTCTCAGGGAATAGGGAGGCCTAAGGAGAAGGACATGAAACAGCAGCAGATTGGTGAAGCAGTAAGAAGGAACACAAGATTTATTAAATTCACCATCTTACATGGTGCCACCAAAACAATTACAGTTTTGGTGTAAACAATTACACTAACATCAAAGATCACTGATCACTGTTCACCAAAACAATAGTGAAAAAATTAGAAATATTGTGAGAATTACAAAAATTTGACACATAGACAAAGTGAGCAAATGCTGTTGGAAAAATACCACCAACAGATTTGCTCTGCTTGATGCAGGGTTGCCACAAACCTTCAATTTGTACAAAACAAAACAAAACAGCAGGATCTGCAAACCACAATGATACAAGGTATGCCTGGACATCAAATGGAAATCTTTCATAGTGTTAATGGTAACTAATCAAATGGGCAACTAGGTATGTCTAATAAAGGTTTCTTTTAAGTGCTTATTTATTTTGAGAACACGCACACGATGAGGGGAGGGGCAAAGAGGGAGGGAGAGAATCCCAAGCAGGCTACACACAGTATGGAGCTCAACGCAGGTGTTGATTCCACAGGAGATCATGACCTGAGCTGAAATCAACAGTCAGAGGCTTAACCAACTGAGCCACCCAGGTGCCCCTGACAAAGGTTCTAAAATTATTTAAATTCTGTAGAAAAGCAAAATATACATACCAAAAGCAAAAGTATATACATAGTATATACAAAGTATACACATAGTAATTAAATTTTTTTTTGTTTCTGAATGAAGAGAGTCAACTGATTTAGAACCTAGTCCTAGAATTACTTGGACTATGAAATACTCTCAAATCTTTTAATTTATTACTATATACCAAATAATATGTTAGGTGCTTGCAAAGAAAAGATGAATAGAGATAGCAAATAACTCTGACTACAGTAGCTACTGACAATTTGGGGAAAAAATGGGGGGTGGAGGTATTTGAGCTGGGTCTTGATGTATGCCAAGAAAAAGGAGTGCAAGAATCCTAGAGAATAGCACATGCTAAAACAAACCATGAATATTTGGAAAGATATTTTTAATGTTTACTTATTTTGCTTGAGAGAGCATGAGAAGGGGAGGGACAGGGACAAAGAGAAAGGTGGAGAGCGAGTCCCAAGCAGGCTGTGCACCATCAGTGTAGAGCCGAATGCAGTGCTCTATCTCACAAACCTTAAGATAATGATCTGGGTGAAACCAAGTGTGGGGCACCTAACCAACTGAGCCACCCAGGCACCCCAGAAATATTAAGACGTTAAACACGAGAAAATGAGGGAAAGGAAAGTAAGCAGAAGAAGCAGGTGAGGCCAGATCATAAAATGACAGACTTATAAGTCTGTCTTGGCTTATGGCTATGATGAACTAGCCTATATGCTTACTTAGTAACTCATACACCATAACTTAATCATCAGATCTCATTGCTCATGTAATATATAGTATTAATATAACACCTGTAAGCAACATAGCAATCTCCCAGGACGCTGCGATACACAGCTGTTAAGACTAATGACACAATTATACTTCATACATCCCTTTAACTAAAAACAATGCTTCAAGCTTCACATAAGAACAGTATGCAAGATAAAACTGAAAGTTTAAATTGGAAAACTTTAACTAGAGAATGCTAATTAAAAGCAATGGCACAGTTATTAACTGAAATCTAGTAAAACACAGAAGTCCATATTTAATAGCATTAAGCAAAATCTTTACACAATGTTTAAGTTTTTTATAAAATCCTGCTTCACATTTAATATCAGGTTAGTTTTTATTAAAATTATCAGATAAAAATAATTTATATTCACTTAAAAGGGTTATAGAAAAGGCTATTAAAAACAGAAAGTCTGCATTATGTCAATTAAAATTAAAACCTAAATCAGATAAAAGGTTAGTATCCAAAGTCTATAAAGAACTTACCAAACTCAACACCCAAAAAAATAATCCAGTGAAGAAATGGGCAGAAGACATGAATAGACACTTTTCTAAAGAAGACATCCAGATGGCCAACAGACACATGGAAAGATGCTCAACATCACTCATCATCAGGGAAATACAACTCAAAACCACACTGAGATACCACCTCACCTGATCAGAGTGGCTAAATTAACAACTCAGGAAACAACAGATGTTGGTGAGGATGTAGAGAAAAGGGAACACTTTTGCACTGTTGGCGGGAATGCAAACTGGGTCAGCCTCTCTAGAAAACAGTGTGGAGTTTCCTCAAAAAATTAAAAATAGAATTACCCTATAACCCAGCAATAGCACTACTAGAAATTTATCCAAAGATACAGGAGTGTTGAAACACAGGAACACATGTACCCCAATGTTGATAGCAGAGGTATCAATAATAGCCAAATTATGGAAAGAGCCCAAATGTCCATCAACTTATGAATGGATAAAGATGTGGTTTATATATACAATGGAATACTACTTGGCAATGAGAAAGAATGAAATCCTGCAATTTGCAACAAAC